AAAATGTTGTATTGTTCGATACATATGCATACCGAACCGAAAGCACTGTATCGAACGGTTCAATATCGATACGAGTATCGTTGCACCCCTAATATATATACATACATATATATATGTATACATATATATATTGCTCAGAGTGATTACTCAATGCTGAGATGAACAATCACTGTACAAGCACACTGCAAAATGTTTTTTATTTGGTCAAAGATCATTTTGTGTAAACCTATTGGGATTCTCAGTGAATCGGTTTGAATCAGCACTTGAGCAAAGGGAATTGTAAACATTTTAACTGTGTTGTAACAGACAGAAGCACATGAAGACCTTGCATATGTGTAACTTTTCTTGTTGTTCCCAAACATCAAAGATTTCTAAATGTTTGTGCATTAATTTTTAACAATGCCTTCTCCCCTGAGTTATACTGTAATGAGGCTATTGTGTTTACATGATGGTTTATGAAATTATTAATCTTATTGGTCTTGAAATACACATAAAAATAAAATGTTTGTGATTACAGCAAATAACCGTTCTGGTCTTTTTCATGTGTTTGCTACTTTAACTAACTGCTTAAATATGCTCTGGTATGGTCTTTTTCATAATTGCAGTTGATGGATAGCAAACAGTGATTCTAAGATATAGTCGCCTTTCGTTAATAGAAGTACCTTTACTTGGATATGTTTACGCCTACTTGACAGCGTACAAAGATCCTGAGCGATGAAGCAAAGATTTCCAATTTTGACACATCAGATGGTCATGAAAAAGTGTTTCTTTCTTTCAGGTCCATGTGCATAAATTAATAAATGTATTTTGATAGGAAAAATACGCTCAGTGGACACTTTTTTTTTTTAGGTAAAACATGCTTGTACTGGGTTGGGCCCACTTTGGCATTAAGAACTCTTCATGGAATAGATTCAACAAGGTGCTGTAAACATTCCAGTCCATATTGACATGATCACATCAGACAGTTGTTGCAGATTTGATGGCTGCACATCCATGATGCAAATCTCCTGTTCAGCAACATACTGAATGTGCTCTACTGGATTGAGATTTGGTAACTGTGGAGGCCATTTGAGTACAGTGAACTCATCACCATGCTCAAGAAACCAGTTTGAAGTGATTTGGAAAATGTTCAGCAATAATAACTAGGTAACTGGTACCCAGGTGGTGTTTAAATGATGCTTAGTGGGTATGAATGGACCCAAAGTGTGCCAAGAAAATATCTCCACAGCATGTGGGCTTTATGTCAGAAGCATGTATTCTGTATAGAGAAATGGCAGAAAATTGTAATTTAACCACAAACAATGATCTTTTCTCAAAAGCCAAGTCCTTTAATAGCTTTAATGCATAACATTAACAACATTTTAATGTCTAAACCAAATGATTCCCTCCTCCAAAGTCCAAATGTCTCTCAAAAGAGGTATTTTATTTTGTGTACGCAGACACTGATCAGTACATAGATCAGTATCTATGCAGAGCCAACTGATAAGAAATTGTTTTCCAGGACGTGAAAATAATGTTGAGGAAAGCCAAAAATAACAAAACTTTGATTCCAGGAATTGATAGATGAAAGATTATGGCTATGTCAAGGGAAGGCAGTCAAACAAGCACCTTGTGAATTATTACATGGATGAAAATACCAGTAACAACCCTAAGAACTATCACTTGACGCCAATGAACTACAAAATATACAAAATATTACAAAATAAAACAAAGTATCCTAACATTCATTGTCAATCATTAGCAGACTGCAGAGTGACTGGCCTGTCTCCACTTAATTGTCCACCAGATGTCAGTACAGCACTAATATGTTTATATAACTAAAACTATAGAGAGGGTCTGTGTCATGACACATGCATTATGTATACTGAATAATTCCACTAATTTTGTGTGTTTGAAATATTGGGAGTATAATCAGCTGCACAGTTGGATTAATAGTGAAAAGAGTGAGGAATGGTACATGTCCTTGTTAATGATATTTTAATAATTGATAAAAAAAAAAAAAAAGTAGTGATTAGAGATAAAAGGATGTGGACATCTAAGTTAAAGGCGTTTCTTACTAATGAGGTATGAATTACTTGAAAGAACAGCCTCGTGCAGAAACTTAGTTTGGACTTTGTTGCCCTCTACTGGCCAACATTGTCCTGTTTTTTGGTGTAAAATTTTAGGTTTGTTTTCTCCCAGAAGAGCTGGTAAATCTGAATTGGCTCTGGACGGTAGACGTTTGCAGGGAAGCTGATAACTAACTTCTGCCAAAACGGGTTGGAACTGACTGTAGGATCAGCATGCTGGTTGTGTAGCCCGCTGTATTTGGCTCTGTTTAAATGCATGTTACAGCAGGATGTTATCCTGCAGAATCAACTCAACAGGTTCCACATAAAGAGAAATAAATGTTGACAAAACACATGGCTCTCCTGGAAATAGATAAGATTATGATTCAGTGCACATTGCCATTAAATACAACTTAACAGGCTTATTCCATCATATATTTTCTTCCTCAATTTGGGGGATGAAAATTTGAACTAAGCAGAGACGAGCAGTTACGTTGTGTTTCATCACTCTTTAATGGGCATGGGGTCCCAGAGTGAAAGAAACAACATTTTTCATTTGGGTAATGGGCAGAAAAAGTAAAGCTGACCAATCTGAATTCAGAATACGTTCTGCCTTTATGTAGTGTTAGTGAGCTTGAAATGGTGCTGACGTTTGAGTGGTGTTTAGGGATTCGACGCCATTAAAGAATGGGTCAAGTGACATTAAGAGACATCCATACTACACTCCCTCAAATAACACAAAGATTTGATTTGTGGTTCTGTTGTAAATGTGCAACTGACAAAACAAAGCATCATTTATCATGATGGCAAGGTGGCTAGACACATTAAGCAGTTTACTTCTCAGTGTAAAGTCATGAATACAAGCCTTCTAAAAAGATCAACTGCATACAAATTGTGTTTTACTGCTTTGACATTGTCGTATGTCCAGCAGACAAAAGCACAATTAATTGACATTTTGTATTTTTAGAATAATTGGCACGTCATGAAATGAAAAATATGACAAAGAAGACCCAAGACAGTTGATCAGCTAAAAGACAAGATACAGATGAGAATGGGACAACAGTCCTCTCCCAAAGTCCAGTTCTCCTCATTTACAGACTGTTTTTAAAAGATGAAGGGCTACCATGTAATGGTATATCTCTCCCAGCTTTTTTGAGATGTGTTGCCAGGAAATTCAAAATTGGCCATTTTTGTCTTGAAATCTAACTTTTTTTTAGAGTTGGGATTGTAGGGGAGAAAAAAATCTAACAACAACAAAAAAGCAAAATGTACCCTTTTATTCTATTATAAAAGGACTACAAAGATATACACTGTTGGTTAAAAGTTTTAGAACTCCCCATTTTTTTCAGTTATTTATTGTAATTCAAGTCATTCAAATCCAATGAAAAGCCTGAAATGGTACAAAGGTAAGTGGTGAGCTGCCAGAGCTTAAAAAAAGGTTAAGGCTACCCAAAACTGAATAATAATGTACATTTCAGAATTATACAAAAAGGCCTTTTTCAGGGAACACAAAATGGGTTAACAATTTAAAGCTGTTCTGCAGCAGTGGAGGTTGATCAAGCCTTGAAAGCTGGTGCTACTAATTCCTACAGATGTTCCAACTTTTCTAGATTAGGGCGATTGTGGCTCAAGAGTTGGGAGTTTGCCTTGTAATCGGAAGGTTGCCGGTTCGAGCCCCGGCTCGGACAGTCTCGGTCGTTGTGTCCTTGGGCCAAGTCCTTGGGCCAATGGCGCGATATTGCAGCCTCGCTTCTGTCAGTCTGTCCCAGGGCAGCTGTGGCTACAACTGTAGCTTGCCTCCACCAGTGTGTGAATGTGTGTGTGAATGTAAAGCGCTTTTGGGGTCCCTAGGCGGGACTAGTAAAAGCGCTATACAAATACAGGCCATTTACCATTTACCTACAACCCCCTCTGTCTGCATAAAAGCAGTGAACACGCTGTGGTACCATATCCTCGTGAGCATCAGTTGAACAG